GCCATATTGGATGCTCAGTGTTGATTTCTGCTTTCAGGAGATTAGGCCCAGCAGTAAAGTTAGCTGGGTCAGCCTTGGTAAAGGGAAGTTCTTATTGCTGAGCCCATGCATACCCTTTACCCTGCTGTCATGAACATTTTTTAATGGGCCCACTGAGCAAGCACTGAAGTAGCTAGGAAAAGTGACAGGTATCTTTAGAGTGCGTGATTTTGTCCACCTTATTCCTAGTGGATCACCTTTGGTAGGCGTTCACATGGGACACAATCCTTTCATTGAGGTCTACCCATATACCTTTTCCCAGGTTTCCTTGTTACCACTCTGGTTCTTCCCACATTTTTGACCATCCAGCCAAGCCATAGGCAACTTTTGATGAATCTGTGTGTATGCATTCATCTTGTCAACTCTCACTCCAGACCCAGAAATAGGCCAATATACTGCCTTCAGTTTTGCCACTGGGAAGATTTTCCTTTAGTACTGCCTTTCAGGGTCAGCCTTTAGCGGGGCTGTAGTGCTTCTGCTCTGTACTTTTGGATGGTACTAGAGCTAGTCATCGGACTCTGGGAGAGCTGGAAGCAGCCCTCTGGAATGCAGGCAACCCTGGCTATTGGGCTCATGAGCAGAGGAAGTTGGGGTGCCAGTAAGGGTACAAGCGAGAGCACTAAGTATCCACATCAGGCGGCCGGGGAAACCAGTCTTTGGTATGCAGACAGGCCACGGGTGGTGAGTAAGCACGTAGAAGGAGACAGTATTCCTCTCACCCTTGCATTCTTTGAGTAGTTCAATACATTTCAAAACTCAGTTGGATATTGTGTTATGAACTGTGACGGAGCTGTAATCTGGGTGTACTTTAACAGTGTTGAGAAGGATCTCAGTTGTCTGTCCAGCCATCACTGGGTGCCTTCAGGCTCCATGGCAGGTAAAGGGGAACACTGGCACCCAAAGCTACCTAAGGCCGCCCATGAGATGCAGAGACTCCACAAAGAAAAGCAGGTCCCAGTGTCACACAGCACCATCCAAGAACATTCCTAGAGACACGCAGAATTCCTTATGATAAAAGGTTTTGTTGCTTCAAAAATATGAAAGTTCAATGTGTGTATCTACCCAGTAATGTTGTTACAAGATGTATAAAGGAGTATCTATTACAGATACGCAAGAGGAAATAGACAAGTCTACAGCTGCAGTGGGAGATTTAGAATTTTTTTTTTTTTTTTTTTTGAAATGGAGTCTTGCTCTGTCGCCAGGCTGGAGTGCTGCAGTGGCACGATCTTGGCTCACTGCATCCACTAACTTCCAGGTTCAAGTGATTCTCCTGCCTCAGCCTCCCGAGTAGCTGGGACTACAGGCACGTGCCACTACACCCAGCTAATTTTTTGTATTTTTAGTAGAGATGGGGTGTGGGTAATCCCCCTTCTGGGCACTGAGGAAGGAGAGCTAAGCGGACCCCCGGCACAATTAGTGCCTGAAGAATATCTTAGTCTATATTGTTGCTATTCAGTTATTTCCTTTTATATAATCCTTTATATATAATCTTATATTAGTTTATAGGCAAAACAATTAGTGCTGGAAGAATATGTTATGACTCAATTATTTCTCTGTGTGTGTGTATATATATATATATATATACACACACACACATAGAATTATATCTTAATTTATAGTCGGAGGAATGTCTAGAGCAGACACGGTACAGAGCATGAAATAAGGGAAAAAACAGCTATACATAGATAATCATATCTTGTTTATAGTAGGAGGAATGTCTAGAGCATACACAGCGCAGAGCATGAATTAAGGGAAAAACAGACCAGGAGAAGAATCTATGGCCCAAGCAGTAGTGCCCCTGCCTGAAAGGACATGCACTACATGGCAGGCTGGCCCAGGTGGCAGCGTTGAGTATCGTAAAGTTACCCGCTGTACAGCAGGCTTGGAGCAAGAGTCACTCCTCCTACAAAGGAGTTGCAGTACCTTGCGTCCAGTTCTTGTGGAAAGCTGGCCTCAGGTCGGCAAGCCCGCGAGCATCCAAGGGCTTAAAACCCCTCTGGTATAATCGTGCCTAGGTGGCTGTATACGCGGACAGCTCTGTTACTCCTGTACTGACTCAAAGCATCCTCCTATAGAAATCACTGGAAGCTGCCAGCAGGTGGCTGTATAACCTGTCAGCTCTATTGCTAGTGCTGACTCAGAGCATTCTCCTATAGAAACTCTTAGAAGTTGCCTGCCCTTAGATAAGAAATGTTGCTTACTGCACCCGTCTTACTGTGCACTGCCCATCTCCTTGCCTCAGTGACCTAATGGAGGTGGACCCTTTGCTTATCACACATGTGATTGTCTTGACCCTATTGCTGTCCTTAAGATGACCTCACTCAAGACCCTCCCCGCTGTCTTGTACCTAATAAATACAGTCACGCCCAGACACTCGGGGCCTCGCCTGTCTCTGCTTATAGGTGGTGTGGCGCCCTGAGCCCAGCTGCTCTTTTCCAGTCCTTTGGTGTCTTGTCTTCTTCTTTCTCGGATCCAGCACCTCAGCACAGCAATAGGGGACACCCCATGACTCTGGTAGGCCTGGACCCTACAACAGGGTTTCACCATGTTATCCAGGATGGTCTCGATCTCCTGACCTTGTGATCCACCTGCCTCAGCCTCCCAAAGTGCTGGGATTACAGGCGTGAGCCACCACACCCAGCCTGAGATTTAGAATTTTTATCTCATGTTATTTAAATAGTAGAGAAAGATGAGGTTAGGATATACATTTGCGAGAGATGAGCACACTGCCTAGTTTACCTGTCCAGTATAGTGTCTAGTAAATGAAGGGAATCACAGAGTGCTTATCTGGCGTTGAGAGGGAAAAAATAAACTGGAAGGGGCAAGAAGGTTTTTGGGGGAGAGGAAACCCTTCTTTAGGCTTTTGATTATGCAAGTGTATGTAGTTGTCAAATTCATCCACCAAATACTTAACATCTGCACTTTTACTTGTATATTAATTATATTTCAAGTTCAAAGTAACATAATTGGTTTAGATTTCACCAAATGAAACACATTTGTGGCCCTCTTCAGCCCAAGGATCCCCAGTTTGAGACCCATGGTAGTAGGTACAATCTAAACCAGGAGTCTAGACATGGGGTTTCTGTAACCCAGTGTGACTTCAGGGTTTCAGCCTTTTCATTCATAGAGTAGAGGCTTTGGTGTCCTTGTGGGGGTATATCTGCTTCATGGATAAGGAATTGTTCAGTTTTCAGTGATTTTCATCATTCAGATACCATTCTGTCAATTAGCCTTTGTGCTGTTGTTCTGTGTTTGATGTATTTTATCTTATTTTTTCTTGATATAGAACCTCACTCTGTTGCCAGGCTGGAGTGCAGTGGCGTGATCTCGGCTCACTGCAACCTCCGCCTCCTGGGTTCAAGCAATTCTCAGCCTCCTGAGTAGCTGGGACTACAGCTGCGTGCCACCACGCCTGGCTAATTTTTT